TTTTTTTTTTTTTTTTTGGTCATTTGTTAATAAAATTTGAATTAAAAATTTACTCCTTATCCACTTCGAAACTTGTAGTATGTAACGATCTAGATCTACCGCTAGCAGATATTATCCTCTTAATAGATTATTATGATTGAAACCGCATCACCACACTTAAGAATCTATAATAAAGTTGAGTTGAATTCTAAATTATGGGTTCGAATCTTTACCAAAAAATTTAAAAAAAAAAAAAAAAACATTAATACTTTTTAACGTAAAGTTGAATTCTAAGTTTATTAATGAGGCCATATGTATATAATTAATGTGTGTGCTACAATCCCAACAAAATTCCAAAAAATAAGGTTGACCACCAAATTAAAATGAAGGAAAAATGGTCATTTTCTTTGACATATTTCACATTAATTGTTGATCTTAGTTAGGATAGACTTCAATTTGGGTGCCATTAAATTAATTACAACTTTCTATATTTCTCATTCATAATCAACTAACGAACACAAACTCCATTTTCACACACCTTTTCTTCTTTCTTTTTTTTTTCTTTTTTTTTTTCATCCTTTTATAATAATTTATTTATTTTTCAATAATTCAAAGCTTTCCCATTACAAAGAGAAAGAGCAAGACCAATATTGTCAATGAAGTCAAAACAATGATCAATAAAAGAAAAGGCTTTAATTTTTCTTCTTACTATATGATATAATGTGGAAAAATGCTGCATTTATTTTTATTATAAAAAAAAGTATTTAAGAAACTTAAAATACATATTAAAAAAGAGAATACATAGTTGATAAAAAAAATGAATAATACGACGTAGAAATAACAATAGGAAAAATAATTTGTAGTTGGACGTTTCACCTAATAACACGACCATTCATTTGTCTCATTTACCAAAGTTTGGGAGTTACTTGAGTTCATTATCTTCTACATTTTTATTACATACTTTTTCTCTCTAATTTATGTGGTCTCAAATTTTATACAACAAAGTATTTTATTTTCTTATTTTTTATTTAAAAAAAAAGTCTAATGTGGCTGCAAACAAATTTGGTCCGAGTTGACAAATCCGTTTGTATATATACACTTACCCAATATCTTTATTATTGGTCGACTTAGATCTCTCTCAAAATATCACATATAATATATATAAATAAATAGTAGGCTTTTATATATATATATATATATATTTTTTCATGCTTTATTTTCATTCGTATGTTATAAAAAACATATATTTCAAGAGATCTCTCTATTTAAATATACATATTTTTTTAAAAAAAATTTCAAGAATATAGAATTGTCGGCCACGTTAATATTTACAAATAATTTCTCAAAATTATATTTCTGTTTTTTTTTAAATGAAGTTAAAGCCTTTTAAAATATCATCATCAATCACAACATCACGAATCTAAAACATACTAAAAAACAGACAAAATATGAGAAGACAAAATATGAGAAGCAAAGTATGAATGTCTTTATTTTTTTGTGTACTTCCAAAATTGATTCCTAACAAATCTACAACAATATCTTTCTTTTCCTTAATTATTATTTATAATTCATTATTCTTACATATACATACATATATATATATATATATTTATTTATTTAGCAAGAATTATATATTAACTTTCTTGCTACTTCTATATTATTTTGAAATTTATTCCGTTGATTTTGAATCTAAATTGATTTACACTTGAAAATCTACATTAATTTGAAAAATAAATTAAATTCTTGGAACTTTTGGACGGGGGAGATCTCTTTGAACGTGTGGATGGCATTTACTTACAAGGTTGCCCATTGGATGGGCCGACATGTTTGTGAAAAATAAAAAACAAAAATATAAAATAAAATTTTCTCATATTTCCGCCGACACATAGGTAATTTTCGTTCTTCGCTTAATTACAAACATAATTTTAACTTATATTCAGAACCGGAAAAAAAAACGCGTTATTTAAGTCGGTGAATTTTAATTATTCATCTCGACTCTTTTCAGTCATTTATATATCTACTTTTTACTCTATCGTTACTTAGGTTATTTATTTATTTATTTATTTATTTATTTATTTATTGGTAGTCCATAATAATTATAATAATTAAATATATGATTTAATTCTTGTGTTTTGTTAAGAAAATAAGAAAAAAAAAACAGAAAAATAATAAGAAAATTATTTGTAATAATAGAAATTTGAGTGTAGCAATGGAAACTTATGCATGCAATAATGTAATAATTTAATCCATTGAATCAGTAATTTGTTTTACACTTTCCACTTATGTCACTTTCAATATAATAGTAATAATAATATTATATTTCTCTTTCCCTCCCTTTTTATTTTACAATATAATAATTACTATAAAAATTCTAAATTTAATTTTTTTTAATTTTTAAATCTACAGACCCATCATTTTTGAAGATTGAAGTAATTTTTTAATAATTTCTTTCATTAAAATTTTAAATTAATTCAATTAATTTTCAACACACTATTGGAGTTTTTTTTATTTTTTAATTCTATTTCTTCTAGATGTTTGAAAATGTGACCAAAATGAGAGAAACTAGAGCCAGTTGAAAGAGAATGGGAAGAAAGTTGCAATTAAGTCAATTTATGGTTGCAACTTTTTTTTCCCTTTTTTTATTAATCATAATATATTTATTAAATAAATAAATATCATTTATTATCGTAATTAAATCAGACATGTTATTAATATGTACAGATCAGCTCGCAGTTATTTTAGGTTAAAAGTGAGTTTGATGTATGAGCATGTAAGTCTATTAAAAATAAATCTCTCTTTTTTTCGGTTAAAACGACAACTTATTTCCTTTTTAAGAACACTCTTTATATGCTCTTGTCCTAAATAATTTATGTAATAAATAAATGGGTCCGACTCCAATTATTATAAAATTAAGATAATATTTATTACTTAAAATGAAAAATAAAAAATTCACCATTGAATTGAAGCTCGATTACAATTATAGGGAAAAACTTTGGATCCCATTTCATAATTTAGTTAAATAACTAACATTATTATCTTATAATCATCAACATTACCATTTATATTTATATATTGAAAGTATAATTTTACTATAATAATTAACTTAAATCCTTCTCTAACCCAAATTAAATATCATTCCAAAACAATTAACTTTGAAATCACGTCCAAAGTGGCTCCCACGGCGAGCTAAGGGCGGCGTCGTCGAGGAAGCAGGTAGTGTCGACGAGTTGCGGCGGCCAAACGGGGTCCGGCGATTGCCTCATTTCCATGCAAATCAAAGCCAGTAAGTTGGCTTGTTGGTGCTGCATATTAGCCACCTCCGCCCTCGCCTTGGCTAGCTGGGCTTGCAGCTCGCTCACTTGCTTTTGCAGCTGGCAAATAGCGCCGGCGCTGCCGTACACTGGATCTCGCAGCCGCGCATTTGCTTCGTATACCATACTGCTCACTGCATCTGTCCTCTGACACTCTGGCAGCTCCTGCAAATATTAAGAAAAAGTTAAATCTTTAATTAGTTGTTTAATAATAAGGTTTAGAGGAAAATTAGAGAGACCAAAGTTGCATTGATTACGGGATTATGTCCCATCAAAAGTCAAACCCAGTTAAGTCAAATCAACTCATTTCTTTTTTTTTTTTTTTAGTTAAATCCGACTATACCCTTTTGTTTGTTTTTAAAAATACCAAAAAAAGTTAATTAATTAATGTTTTTTTTCTACAATACATGGAATTACTAATAATAATTTCCTAACCTTAATCTCTAAACAAAAATAGATTGGAAGGACAAATTGGGGAATTTCAAAATGTGGGTGTGAATTAATTTAATAAAAAAAATTAAATTTTTGGGCATACTTGCAAGAATTTGATGATATTGCTAGCTCCGAAGACTCTATGAGCAATGGTGAACTTGAGAGGCTCGGACGGAGGGAAATATGGAGCCAAAACGCACTTCTCGACGCAGCGGCGGCGGAGGATCTTGCAGGCGGCGCAGGGGCTGAGGATCACCGTAGGCGGCGGGGGAGACGACGGCTGAGAAGTGGGTGGGGAACCAAAATTGGTGGTGGCAGCGGAGGAAGAAGAGATTGGGGAGTAAGATAAGGGGTGGTTTGGAACAGTGATCGGCGTTGAGGGAGCATTAGTACATTTGGCCAAGTANTCCATTTTTTTTTTTTTTTTTTTTTTTTGTAGAGAGAGAAGAGAAAATGAGGAGAGAGAATTTTCTGTTTGGAGAATGAGAAAATGAGAAGGAAATTTTTTTAGTGTGTTTGGAGCAATGAAAGAGGCTGAGAAGCTCTTATAAACACAAGATTTTAGTGGGGAGAGGATGACTTTGCCGCCTACGTCATGCACACTATTGCTTACGTCATTAATTCTAAAATTCATCCTAAAAATATAAATAATAAATAATAAAAAGAAGCCATTGCTTCCAATTTACTTGACTCTTTGCTTTATTCCATTAAAGTGAAACTTTAAGTTAAACAAATTATTCTCTATGGATGATTTGATGGCCAAATCACATCTATTTTAGAAAAATAGCTTCAATTAAAAAAAAAAAATCAATTTATTCCGAGTAATTTTTTTCATGGGGTTTAAATTTTCAACCCGTTTATAAATTATAATAAATAATGAGTTTTATCGTAAGATCCCATGTCGATTCGGAAGAAAAATGAAACATTTTTTATGAGTTAAGGGTCTCCCATCGATTGAAGAAGAGAACGAGTGTCAACAAGGATGTATCTGTAACCGATACGTTTATAATAATAATTAATAATTTGGTAATGGTTTCTTAATAATAATAAAAAAGAAGGTTTGAAAATTCCATGCATGACCCTTACTTTGACTTGGTAGAATGGGTTTGGACTGGTTTATTAGGCTTTTTTCCAATACTTTAATGACAACTAATCACTGACTAATCTTGATTTTCAGTCCATTTCATTTTTTTTTTCTAAGAAAAAAAATTAAAAATAAAATCACTATCGAACACATTAAATATCTACTGTAAAAGGAAAAAAAATACTCGACACCTACGCTTGACAAATCAAATCAACACATCTAAAATTATTGTTCGGATTCGTAATCGTCACCAGTAATCAAATCCAAACTTTACTGAGTGTTTTTCAAAAATTAGGATTGGACTTGTAGGGAACTGAGACAACGTAATCTTCTTGCCCAAACAACCCACTCTTGATGTGTTAAGTGACAATGACATTGGACTAATTCAATTTTTTTTTTTTTTTTTTTTATAGAGCAAATTTTGGTGTGGAAAAAGAAAAACCATTAGGCTCGTGGGAGGCAAGAAAGCGATAGAATGAGAAACCGCTTCATTTTTAGGTTAAATTATACGAACAATAAAAAAAAATATGATTAAAAAAACGAGTCGAATTGTTTTACCCTTAAATTTTCACTGTCGTAAAATTGATTTTTGTTAAATTAATAAGATTTTGAAGTTTCGTTTTTTCAAAAGTACAACCGAAGTAAAATCGGTCGTCTAATGTAATAAAATTAAAAATTTATAGACGGTCAAATTTAGAATTTTTTTAATATATAAAAAATTGAGAGTATATTATTGGTGTAATAAATAATTATTTAAAAAAAAAGATTAAAAAGTATATGTGACATTTTGAAGGTAGAATTTCCATAGCCACTCTTTTCATCAATTTAGAAAATTTTGGTCATCCCTTCCATTTTCCAACCAAATTACTTCAAATATTAACCCATTTTTGTATTTTATTTAAAATAATTCAATTCGTTAAATTAAATACCATTCTCGTTCATGTTTCGATGAATCTTTTAAAGGGTTAGAACTGGAATTTTCTCACATTTTAATAGAAACCATCTTGTCGGTAGTCAAGTTTCTCTAATTAAGACCTAGTAAACAAGCTCTCGGTTTCTAATTCATTTGACAATTAATTTAAATACTAAAGGACAATAATTAATTAGTCTCCCTAAAATCAATCAATTAACTCCTATTTATTCAAACATTCTTGACTAAATAATAAAAAATGAACTTATTTCTAATTTATTTTGAAATTATTAGGGTTATATTGGTAATTTTGACTAGAAGCTTCTTTTTTTGGAAGAAATAAATAAATAATGGATAGTTAGGGTATGAAATGAAAGGGAAAAAGGGGAAAGGGATTAAAGTGAAATGAGTGTGAAGTAAAATGGCATCAAAATAAAGAAAGGGGGTTTTCATTTAGGGGCTCCAACTTTTAGAATCTCCCATTTCAGACACCTTTTTTTTTTTTTTTTTTTTAAATTATAAAAAAATGTAAAAATAATTAAAATAAAAGTAAATAATTTGCATTAAAATGGCTCTCATTGTGTGAGACAACCAACCTAATAAATAAAATTTGTTGGCACAAAATTAGGGTAGCTGTCACCTACCACCCTAACCCAAAACTCTTTTTAGACACTAACATAGATACCCAATTAATCCATTCAAAAATATCCGTTCATATTAATTACTCGTAAGAGCTTAAGCACACTGCATTCTGTTTTAATATCCGACCTTTCATAGTTGTGTTTATTTCTTTTTTTAAATTTTAAAAAATATCTAATAGGACTTTAAATTTTTAATTTTTAAATTTGTATCTATTGGCGGGTTTAAGATTTAAATATAAAAAATTACATAAAATTTAATTTTATGTCAATATATCAGCTAATTTTTTAAAATATTAAAAAAAAAAAAAAAAAAA